ACAACTATATGTGTATGAGTGGACAGACGATAACCGACAACACAGATGAGCATCACACAACTATATGTGTATGAGTGGACAGACGATAACCGACAACACAGATGAGCATCACACAACTATATGTGTTAGAGTGAGTGGACAGACGATAATCGACAACACAGATGAGCATCACACAACTATATGTGTTAGAGTGAGTGGACAGACGATAATCGACAACACAGATGAGCATCACACAACTATATGTGTTAGAGTGAGTGGACAGACGATAATCGACAACACAGATGAGCATCACACAACTATATGTGTATGAGTGGACAGACGATAACCGACAACACAGATGAGCATCACACAACTATATGTGTATGAGTGGACAGACGATAACCGACAACACAGATGAGCATCACACAACTATATGTGTATGAGTGGACAGACGATAACCGACAACACAGATGAGCATCACACAACTATATGTGTTAGAGTGAGTGGACAGACGATAACCGACAACACAGATGAGCATCACACAACTATATGTGTATGAGTGAGTGGACAGACGATAACCGACAACACAGATGAGCATCACACAACTATATGTGTATGAGTGAGTGGACAGACGATAACCGACAACACAGATGAGCATCACACAACTATATGTGTATGAGTGAGTGGACAGACGATAACCGACAACACAGATGAGCATCACACAACTATATGTGTATGAGTGAGTGGACAGACGATAACCGACAACACAGATGAGCATCACACAACTATATGTGTATGAGTGGACAGACGATAACCGACAACACAGATGAGCATCACACAACTATATGTGTATGAGTGGACAGACGATAACCGACAACACAGATGAGCATCACAATAACTATATGTGTTAGAGTGAGTGGACAGACGATAACCGACAACACAGATGAGCATCACACAACTATATGTGTATGAGTGGACAGACGATAACCGACAACACAGATGAGCATCACACAACTATATGTGTATGAGTGAGTGGACAGACGATAACCGACAACACAGATGAGCATCACAGATAACCGATAACACAGATGAGCATCACAATAACTATATGTATATGAGTGGACAGACGATAATCGACAACACAGATGAGCATCACACAACTATATGTGTTAGGAGTGAGTGGACAGACGATAACCGACAACACAGATGAGCATCACACAACTATATGTGTATGAGTGAGTGGACAGACGATAATCGACAACACAGATGAGCATCACACAACTATATGTGTATGAGTGAGTGGACAGACGATAATCGACAACACAGATGAGCATCACACAACTATATGTGTATGAGTGGACAGACGATAACCGACAACACAGATGAGCATCACACAACTATATGTGTTAGAGTGAGTGGACAGACGATAATCGACAACACAGATGAGCATCACACAACTATATGTGTTAGAGTGAGTGGACAGACGATAATCGACAACACAGATGAGCATCACACAACTATATGTGTTAGAGTGAGTGGACAGACGATAATCGACAACACAGATGAGCATCACACAACTATATGTGTATGAGTGGACAGACGATAACCGACAACACAGATGAGCATCACACAACTATATGTGTTAGAGTGAGTGGACAGACGATAACCGACAACACAGATGAGCATCACACAACTATGTGTGTATGAGTGAGTGGACAGACGATAACCGACAACACAGATGAGCATCACACAACTATATGTGTATGAGTGAGTGGACAGACGATAACCGACAACACAGATGAGCATCACACAACTATATGTGTATGAGTGAGTGGACAGACGATAACCGACAACACAGATGAGCATCACACAACTATATGTGTATGAGTGGTGGACAGACGATAATCGACAACACAGATGAGCATCACACAACTATATGTGTTAGTAGTGAGTGGACAGACGATAACCGACAACACAGATGAGCATCACACAACTATATGTGTTAGAGTGAGTGGACAGACGATAATCGACAACACAGATGAGCATCACACAACTATATGTGTATGAGTGGACAGACGATAATCGACAACACAGATGAGCATCACACAACTATATGTGTTAGAGTGAGTGGACAGACGATAACCGACAACACAGATGAGCATCACACAACTATATGTGTTAGAGTGAGTGGACAGACGATAATCGACAACACAGATGAGCATCACACAACTATATGTGTTAGAGTGAGTGGACAGACGATAACCGACAACACAGACGATAATCACACAACTATACAGATGATAATCGACAACACAGATGAGCATCACACAACTATATGTGTTAGAGTGAGTGTACAGACGATAATCGACAACACAGATGAGCATCACACAACTATATGTGTTAGAGTGAGTGGACAGACGATAATCGACAACACAGATGGAACCTGCATGTCAAACGTCCACGTATTTCCCAACGTTTGACGGACCGTCACATTGCTGAACGTCGTTGGTATCAAGACCAATCGTCGTGGGGAAACTGTTAGGTTCTTGGATGAATCAATGTTTACTTTGGACTTCCTTGACAGCCGCATCATTGTGTGGCGTGGACGGTATGAGAGTTTTCATACCATCAACATCAGTCAGAACGATCGTTTTGGGGAGTGGTTGAGTCAGTGAGTTAGTGAGTTTGGTTTTACACCGCTGTTAGCAATATGCCAGCAATATCACGGTGGGGGAATGGACTTCACGCATTGTACCCATGTGGGGAATCGAACCGGGTTCTTCAGCGTGACGAGCGAACGCTTTAACCACTAGGCTACCCCACCGCCCCGGGGAGTGGTTGAGTAACGGTGTGGGATGTGATGAGTGTCTACATGGAAGAACACCTTTACATTTATTCATGGACATGTCACTGATCAGTACTATCGTAACAGCATAGTCGTGTCGTTTTGTGTTACAGGTTGACAATACAGGAGGACACAGGGTTCTTATTGTTACTGAGTACCTCTAACAAGAAAACATAAGCACCTTACATGCCCAGCACTCAGCCGTGACATGTCAGCCAACATGGTTGGGATATCCTTGGACAGTACCGTCACCGTGGCATGTACGTCACCGTCGACGACTGAAGGCACTCAACGTGTTTGGCGAATCCGGGGTTGGTTTGAAAATGGTGGGTAATTCTGGTGATATGAATTAGTTTGACTTTTCATGATAAATGGCGTGGTGGTCAGTAGGACGCTTTGGACCATCGTCTAAAATCTATCACCATCTGACGTTCAACGACTAAAGCAGATTTCCGTCACGTGTCATGTTGCATTGTTATCCCCCGCAACACGTTTTGCGGGGGGTATTAAAATGGACTCCGTCCGTGCGTCCGTCCGTCCGTGCACATTTGTCTTTTCCGGAGCAGAACTCTAAAACCGTTCAATATTTCTTCACCAAACTTGGCACATACATGGATCTGGTGGTGTACTGGTGCCTTTTGGTAGTTTTGGAATTCTGAATAAAATATTTTTGGCGTTTCCATGGCAACAAGTTCGACTTTGACTGAAATTTGTGGTAGTGCTTTTTTCCGGAGCAGAACTCGAAAACCGTTCAATATGTCGTCACCAAACTTGGCACATAGATAGATCTGGTGGTGTACTGGTGCCTTTTGGTAGTTTTGGAATTCTGAATAAAATATTTTTGGCGTTTCGATGGCAACAAGTTTGACTTAGACTGAAATTAGTGGTAGTGCTCTTTTCCGGAGCAGAACTCTAAAACCGTTCAATGTTTCTTCACCAAACTTGGCACATAGACAGATCTGGTGGTGTACTGGTGCCTTTTGGTAGTTTTGGAATTCTGAATAAAATATTTTTGGCGTTTCCATGGCAACAAGTTTGACTTAGCCTGAAATTGGTGATAGTGCTCCTTTCTGGAGCAGAACTTTCAAAACCTTTCAATACTCACCTTCCACTTTTCTATATACACACCTAAATATTTGACATAATCATAACTCGTAGACATAATCATGAAGAGTATTATGCCATTGCGGGGGATATTGATGACTTTGTCTTCTTGTTAAACTTATTATCTCTTTGAAGATATACAATAGCAATAGTTGTGACACCTTATTATTAAATATCCCCTATTTTTGGTATAGGCCTACATCTGATAGCCTGATGGCCCATGAAAAAAATGGGTTTGTCAACGTTGTATCATACATCAGACAAACTGTAAAACAAGCACCACATTCCGCAATAGAAGAAGGCAGTTTGGTGTACGAAAACAAAACTTAGAAAAACTCAATATTCCATCAAAATACAGAGACCATACAAATAATGCATTGTGTTTGTCGTAAGTGTGTGGAGCGTAAACATCCCAGAACTTCAGGTCAACCGAAACCTTAGCGCATGCAACTCAGTAGCAGATATTTGTATTTCTAACAGAGCCTCATTGCAAAAACACCATCGTTCACTGTATAATCAAAATGTTACAGTTAGTAGTAGAAGAGGTTCTCTTTCTTTAAATTTAGCCTTGATTTGAAATTATGTTTTGTAAAGCTTTTAAAGTTTTCATAATGAGGCATGGCTCCGAAAACATAATCTCTCCTTTCTGAAAGGAAAATCTTAGATGATGGTAGCATAATATTCTTGTCGGAAGGATTTTATTTTCGGTTCTTTGTGGTTACAAATATTTGAAAAGATACCTTTAACAAAATTTCAAACCTTTGGTTCTCAAGAAAAAAGTGTGTTCCTCGGAAATACGTCTGATGTCATGATGAAAATAATTATGTCCCCAGAATAAACCAAGAAGAAACTTATTACAACAGTTTTCCTCCATTTTATAAAACAGCAAAATTGAAAAATATATGTAGTTAATTTCTTTTTGAGCACACCGAGCTGCAGCCCAGTGTTCAGTTACACGAAAATGTTAAACCACGTTTCTGGCCATGACCGAATTCCTGGTCAACCCCGCGAAAACGCCCTCCTCAAAAGAACTGTAAGGGAATTAACTCTCATTTCGCTACCTCACCAGAAAGATGCGAGGTTGTTGTCATAATGACGTCAGTGAAAAAAGGTCACTTGCATCGAGGTATGTCGCAGTTGGATGTATCCCAGACATCTACCGGTAATTTACCGGTTTGCCTATTTGTACGTTTTTGGAAACAAATACTTTTAACTTTAGCTTTCATATTTCAATACTTGTTCATTCCAGAGGGACATGTCTACATGAATGAGCTTACGCTTATGTCATTCCACAGTTACCAGGTTACAGATATTCTTATCAATTCCGACAAGACACCAATCCATAGCGTGTAATTTTTTTCTTTTGAAACTTGGGTACAATGTAGTTTACCGGGTGAAGCTTATAAGCTTCCCGTCCTCTCTGTCTCTTCAACAGCGTGGTTGCCACAGGGACATACACATCCCTCGTCAACAACCCACACTTTTGAGGTCGAATAAAATTCCAAATGCATGACGCACGCAAATGCACTTCACATTCTTTGGAAGAATTCCTCATAATTTTAGAATTAAAAAGAAAAATGGACATTGTCACTGATATAGATTGTCTGGATGAAAGCATGCCAAGTAATTTATGTATGAAAATGCATGCTCTGCTAAGAAAACTGCACTTGTTTCAAAATGTAAACAAAGCAAACTTCAGATTTAGTACTACTGCAATTTCTCCTACATACTGAGAGATTCATTTGTCTATTTGTTCCATGCATTGGATCACATTCTTTAGAAGATGGATGGTAACAGTATTGTAGCAAGAATTAGGGAATTAAAACACATGTATTACCTGATGATTTTAATCTGGTAAATTCAACAGACATTTTCTGTTTCCCACCTGCATAAATAGTTATTAACTCATTAAGCCTGATTGTTTAATTGTGTCGTAAAGATATATGTTGAAAGAAAGCAGGTGTGAATACATATCGTGTATTGCAAAGTTTTATGTAATTTTATTGCAAGTTTCTCTTGTAGACCTTTGGCGGCTTGTACATTTATATTTTATTACAATATGCATGTATTCTTTGTATGTAAGAGATGAGACACACATAAACAAATTCTCTCTCTCATATTGTGCGAGGTTTAATTTTACAAAACATCTATGACAATGACATACTGTAAAGAAGAATTTACTTACATACTTTATAATCTTCGACGAAAATAGCGTTTTTGCCGATATATTTCTAGTGTATACGAATTATTTTAATGAAAGTACGGCCTACCTTTAGAATACAGCACTAGAAACTTTAAAAATACGTCATAATACCCTTTTACGTAATGTAATGTGATTTTGTTCGAAAGCATGTTCTCGAAACAATGCCCTATGACGCCTGCATGGCAACACGGTTGTCTAGCTCTGCGAGTGCGTATAAGCTCCGCTCACTGGTGTTTCATCTCTACAAGCTATGTCATTGCATAAGCCCAACGATGTTGAGAGTTTCCAGTAGTTGTATACCGGCGGATGCGCAATTTATTGCAAGCACCAGTTTGAAATATTTTTCTTTTTTGCACTAATACGCTGATATTTATTTGTATTACGGGCTGCTGAGGTATTATGTTTTGTGTATTATTGTAGTTTGTATTTTTAAAATTAAATTTAGCGAGAATGCGTTACATCGGTCTATATTATATATATTCGATTATTCGCAATTTTGGTCAATGTAATTATTTAAATTATGTAAATATATTTTATATTTCGGTTTCTAAGTACTAGTAACTATTAAGTCTAAATGATTTACCAATGTGATCTGACATACATATATATTTTTTTTCATTCAGTAATTTGCACCATTACATAGAAACGTTTTTTATTAGTATTTTATTTTACAAAGTGGTAAAAATGCATTACACTGGTCACATCAGTCATGTTTGTGCCGGTTCGGTCAATTCATTCTATTTATTAGGATTATTTCAAGGGGTTAGGCTTAGGGCTGAGGGTTTAGGGTTAGGGACGTAATCCAATATAGTAGGTACATGTCCGGTGTAATACATGAGTACCATTTGTTGTTTTTCCTTTTGCATTTTAATACTGCCGGTTCGGTCTATGCATTCTATTTATTATCCCCCGCAACGCGTTTTGCGGGGGGTATTAAAATGGACTCCATCCGTCTGTGCGTCCGTCCGTCCGTGCACATTTGTCTTTTCCGGAGCAGAACTCTAAAACCATTCAATATTTATTCACCAAACTTGGCACATAGATAGATCTGGTGGTGTACTGGTGCCTTTTGGTAGTTTTGGAATTCTGAATAAAATATTTTTGGCGTTTCCATGGCAACAAGTTTGACTTAGAATGAAATTTGTGGTAGTACTCTTTTCCGTAGCTGAACTCTAAAACCGTTCACTATTTCTTGACCAAACTTGGCACATAGATTGATCTGGTGGTGTACTGGTGCCTTTTGGTAGTTTTGGAATTCTGAATAAAATATTTTTGGCATTTCCATGGCAACAAGTTCGACTTTGACTGAAATTTGTGGTAGTGCTTTTTTCCGGAGCAGAACTCTAAAACCGTTCACTATTTCTTTACCAAACTTGGCACATAGATTGGTCTGGTGGTTTACTGGTGCCTTTTGGTAGTTTTGGAATTCTGAATAAAATATTTTTGGCTTTTCTGTGGCAACAAGTTTGACTTAGCCTGAAATTGGTGGTAGTGCTCTTTTCCGGAGCAGAACTCTAAAACTGTTCACTATTTCTTTACCAAACTTGGCACATAGATTGGTCTTGTGCTGTACTGGTGCCTTTTGGTAGTTTTGGAATTCTGAATAAAATATTTTTGGCGTTTCCATGGCAACAAGTTCGACTTAGACTGAAATTAGTGGTAGTGCTCTTTTCCGGAGCAGAACTCTAAAACCGTTCACTATTTCTTCACCAAACTTGACACATAGATTGGTCTGGTGGTGTACTGGTGCCTTTTGGTAGTTTTGGAATTCTGAATAAAATATTTTGGGCATTTCCGTGGCAACAAGTTTGACTAAGCCTGAAATTAGTGGTAGTGCTCTTTTCCAGAGCTGAACTCTAAAACCGTTCACTATTTCTTTACCAAACTTGACACATAGATTGGTCTGGTGGTTTACTGGTTCCTTTTTGGTAGTTTTGGAATTCTGAATAAAATATTTTTGCCGTTTCCATGGCAAAAAGTTTGACATACACTGAAATTGGTGATAGTGCTCGTTTCTGGAGCATAACTTTAAAAACCTTTCAATACTCTCCTTCCACTTTTCTATATACACACCTAAATATTTGACATAATCATAACTCGTAGACATAATCATGAAGAGTATTTTGCCATTGCGGGGGATATTGATGACTTTGTCTTCTTGTTAGGATTATTTCTAGGGGTTAGGGATAGGGGCCTAATTCAATATAGTTGGCCCAGTGTAGTACGTGAGTACCATTTGTTGTTTTTCCTTTTTATCCCCTGCTACGCGTTTTGCGGGGGGTATTAAAATGGACTCTGTCCGTGCTTCCGTCCGTCTGTCCGTCCTTCCGTCTGTCTGTCCGTCCGTGCACATTTGTCTTTTCCGGAGCAGAACTCTAAAACCGTTCAATATGTCGTCACCAAACTTGGCACATAGATAGATCTGGTGGTGTACTGGTGCCTTTTGGTAGTTTTGGAATTCTGAATTAAATATTTTTGGCGTTTCCATGGCAACAAGTTTGACTTAGACTGAAATTGTGGTAGTGCTCTTTTCCGGAGCAGAACTCTAAAACTGTTCACTATTTCTTCACCAAACTTGGCACATAGATAGATCTGGTGGTGTACTTGTGCCTTTTGGTAGTTTTGGAATTCTGAATAAAATAATATTTGGCATTTCCATGGCAACAAGTTTGACTTAGACTGAAATTGGTGATAGTGCTCCTTTTTGGAGCAGAACTTTTAAACCCTTTCAATACTCTCCTTCCACTTTTCTATGTACACACCTAAATATTTGACATAATCATAACTCGTAGACATAATCATGAAGAGTATTATGCCATTGCGGGGGATATTGATGACTTTGTCTTCTTGTTGCATTTTAATACTTTTTTTTCACACAAAAACCAGAAACCAAAAAGCGTCGAAAGTACACATTGAAATGGTTTAATATAGAAATTTTGGGCTAATGGAAATTGGCCTGGAATTTGCACTCAAGCCTCTTTCACACGCAACATAAATTTTGTTCAGTAATGATTCGAAGGCTAACTCACCCTCGTGCAGTCACTACACATGCTCATGTCTCCCTCGTTCCTTAGTGCGATCCACATTATCCTTACAGTGTTCCCTACATCACTTTTCTGTCACAAAATCACCGATTTATATAAAAGCGCGTCATTCATGCATGCACCGTGAAATCTACATCTGATGCCTGACGTCAACAACCCTTTTCAGTTTGAGGCATATTGGCTCATTCCACGCCACATGTTATCTTGCAGATTACGGAATGGGACGACTGTGCCAAATGGCATTGGATCCATTCGGCAATTGTCCGTAGATAAAAATCACGAGACACCAAGTCTCCCCGTAACCTTCGTAATTGTCTGTGACCTATTCGACTCTTTCCGTTCATTTCCGTGATGTCACAGGAATGACTCGATAAATTTGCACGTTGTGCAACAGTGTGGACGTAGCTCAGTCGGTTAGCTGCCGAGCTAACAATCCGAAAGTCGCAGGTTCGCGTCCGACGGGTTCTCACAAACTGGCTGCTTGTCTTTATGACACGTGACCTACGGCAGAGATCGTCCTCACAAGAAGTTGTGGTGCTGTATTCTAAAGGTGCTCGGAAAGTACTATTATGCTAGTCTGTGACTAGCATAGAGCACATTCATAGCTTGGCACTTTGTTTCATCTAGATTTAATGCAGAAAACATACGTGACCATACAAACATACATAGAAAACATATATACTATATATTCCTTGCATAGACATAAAAGAAAGAGTCAAGTGATAGGGCGTCATCAAATTTCCTGAATAGAATGTTCGATATCTAAACTGTTCAATATAGTGGCTGGTCATATGTTATCTGTGACCAATCGTATCATGAGATACCTGTCACAGAGGAAAAGGACGGTGGATGGGGCGTGGGCGAAATTTCTGAAGAGCATGTTTGGTCACTCAACAGCTTGGATAGGGAATGATTATTGGCTATATCGTTGACCAGTCGATATGCTGGGTTTCGGCTTTATCAACTCAAGCTATCATGTAACAGTTTGTGTATTGTGTATTGTAAACATACACACTGGTACAGTGTATGAAATATACACATAAGACAAATAGGAGTAGATAGACACTTTGGCGAGTTTATTTGTCCTCATGTTAGTGTTTTTCGATAAGTAAAACAAAACGATTGAAATCCAACCATCGAGTAGAGATAGTATTTATTTTCATATACATTTTATGCACACAACTAGTACATAAAACATAATGGTTTGCTGTACATGTAAATATAATCTTCACCTTGATACTGAATTAATATCCAAACTAAAGTACACGTATTACAGAATTCACTATACTGAATTATTATAGTGTATAAACTTGCAATTGAACACCCCCCACCCCCAAATATTTATGAAGGTGGGCGTGCCTATATTTATAGTGAATGCAAACGAGGTTCATAAGATTACAGATGTGCATGCATGCATAAACATTACAGAGAGGGGGGTGACTCCATAAAGCAAGTTGTCCAATGATAGAACAGTGCATCTGTTTATTTTACACTTGTCACGGGACAAACCTTTCAACGAGGACATAACTACAAATGCATTCTACCAGAGGCTGTTATTTCAAGGTCGAAAGAGGTGTTCAGTATATCTCATTACTGTAATCTGATTGAATGATTATACGCATGTGTATCGATACCGTAGCTGGTATACTATCCAGCTTTTATTGACGATGGATCAACAGAGACTGAGTTCATTGATACACGTGATAATTACACCAGATTTGATAATTACAGAGATCAAATACAAACGTTTTACACAATGCTCATGTAAATTGCATAGAAAACTGACAATTCAAATCAACATGAAACTTTCAACAGCTTGAACAAAAATACTTGAAATACCTTTGTATGGTTTACATGTAATAACTTTTGATATTACTTCTCTCTATGTGTGAGAATTTTTCGAATTACCAACTTACTGTGTTTTGTAACAAACGTAGTAAAAGATTTCATTGTTGTAATAACACTGACATGTATATATATTTGATGCAAAGGCACGACTTATCACTCTGATTTGGTAACATTATCAACTTTAGATTATGGAAAATAACTAGTTACAATTCAGTAAGCTTCAAATTCGAAAGTTAAATTATGTCTAATCTATTCGAGCATGGATGTATAATTATTTGTGTTTATACATTATGTTTCATTATATGAAACATGACAATGTAATAATACCTAAAAAGTAAATTCAAACTATTCTATTGTGTTTGAATTCTTTGTATGTCCTTGAAATTTCGTATATATTGTTTCCTATTTATTGGGAAGTTGAAGATAATATAATCTTCAGTAACTTCTAAACCATTACATCTAATTCAATCAATGTGCATACGAAGTATTTTAGTATCCATTCCCAATGAAGAGTACCAGACACTTACCTCTGTAAAAACATCATAATCCCCTTTCTCGCTGACATGTGTTCATTTGCCAAACGCTGTATAAGCCTATGATAATGATTAGCAATTGCTATCAAAACACTTTAAATACTTCTTCTGATTGACACTAAAGGTAGCATCTCTCGTAAGAAAAGCTAATATTTGCTCAGTACTACTAAATTGGTTGAAATAATAGGTACAGTGCGATTTTTAAAAGTACAACACACATGTGTGTCTCTCGCTGAATAAGAGGTGCTTTCTGTTGACGAATATATGTGGCTCTTGCTGTGAGAAACTGCCAATTACCTGCCCCATAAACACGTCACTCGCTGTGAGGAGCTGATTAATTTGCCCCATATATGCGTCTCTCAGCCTTAATGAGTTAATTGGCCATCTTTATTCAGAACATATCATATGTTGCATAGTTATACTTAGTAGCAGGGCCAGTGATAAATGTTTTATTTCTAGTGATACTGTGTATTTTAACTTGATTTAACATTTACTGCATACCAGTTGGTGTAACCAAAGTGACAGTGCTGAAGAAGCTACTGGTAGGAGGGTCAAGCAAGTTTCACCAGCCGGAGCACAGTTACAATTCAGCACCACAATCTCTCATGAGGAAGTTCTCTGCCATAGTTCACAGGTCACTGAGACAGGCAATCAGTTTGTGAGAATCTGTTGCACGCGAACCCGCGACCATTGGACTGTTAGCCCGACTGAGCTACGTCCACACTGTTACACAATGTGCAAATTTATCTAGTCATTCCTGAGGCATTACGGAAATAAACGGAAAAAGTTGAATAGGTCACAGAGAATTACAAAGGTTACAGGTAGCCTTGGTGCCTTGTGATTTGAACCTACGGACAATTGACAAATGGTCCCGATGCCATTTGGCACACTCGTCCCATTCTTTAATCTAGAAGATAAAGTGTGGTGTGGAATGAGCCGATATGGTACGAACTGAAATGATGTCTGTTGACGTCATGTGTCAGACGTCAAATTCACGGTATACATGAATGACATGCTGTTAAAAACAATCATCGGGTGATTTTGTGACGGAAACGTGTTGTAGGGAACACTGTAAGTATAGTGTGGATCGCTAAGAAATGACAGAAGCATGAGCATGTCTGGTTGCCACGAGGGTGAGTTAACTTTCCGAATCATTGCTGGAGAAATGTAGGCTCCCAAATGTTGTGTGTGAAAATGGCTTAAGTGCAAGTTCCAGGATAATTTCCATTAGCCCAAATTTTCGACATTAAACCATTTCATTGTGTACTTTTGACGTTATTTGGGTGAAAAAAGTATTAGAAATGCGGGAAGGAAAATCACATTCACCGAAGAGGCACGAAAATGGCTGACGTGTAATGCATTCTTACCGCTTCAAAATACATAATGTACATAAATATACTCCATTCTTGTGTAATGATGCAAATTACTGAATGAAAAGAATCTATATGTATATTAGTTCCCATTTATAATTCATTTAGTCCTAAAAATTATGTTGAAAGCGAAATGTTAACTATATCTAAAAAAAATGTGCTTTCATAAACTGGTGCTTGCCATAAATTGCACATCCGCGGTAAACAACTGCTGTAAACTCTAACCATCGTTGGGCTTATTCAATGCCATAGCTAGTAGAGATGAAACATCAGTTAACAGAGTTTATACAATACTCGCTGAGCTAGACAACCTTGTTGCTATGCCGGCGTCATAGGGCATTGTTATGAGAACGTGCTTTGGAACAAAATCACATAAAATTATTATAAAAGGGTATTAGTTTGTGGTGCTGTATTCTAAAGGTAGGCCCACCAGCCTACTGGAGAAAAATGCAAAAAAGAACATGGTTTTATCTTTTACTGATCAGAGTTAAGAAGATAAAGCATATGGTAAAGAAGTTTAATCCAAAGTCAATCAAGTTCAACACAACATGCAGGGGGATTGTCTTGTACAATGTCTCTAAAGGTAATTCCTTCAGTTGCACTTGGATCGTTAATCATGAACTACTATAAACCACACAATGATTTTGAGACGATACATTGCACTGTAAGCTTTCTTAGAGTTTATTTGTTTGTTTGAGTTTAACATGTGATCACAATAGGGTGTTTACATCTCAGCAAGATATATTCATCCTTAGGATGTGTCAACTTCTTCATGTACCATGTAATAGACGGGGGAGTCTCTGCTTACTTTGGAGCTGTGGGATAAATGTTTGATATTTGAATTTCTAATAAATCTCATATTTGAAAGGACTTATTTTATCGCACATGGTGACACCACCCAAGCTTACCCCACCTCAGATTTCTTGCCAATTTGGTAGTAAGAAGAGTTTGACATAATTGGAGAAGGCACAGGGCTCGCCTGGAGCATGCTGCATGTGTGTGGAAGGGTCCATTATCATTTGGTTGTGTTTGGGGGAGGTGTCAGAGACAGGAATCTTTATGCTCTAAATTATGTGTTGAGCGCCAATAGCAGGCATGCAATATGTGAGATAGAATAAGTCTTTTATATATCAAATTTATTAGAAATTCAAAATGTCAACTAATTCTATCTCAAATATCACACAAATTTTGACAACTGAAATGATGTGATGGACAATGTAATGTACGTCTTGAAGTGTTTACCTTTCCGAAATCGAATGCTGTTTACCAAAATTTAAGCGGCATACATGAAACCAATGTATTCTATCCACTATTTATTCTCCTTTCAGCTCTTCAAGAGAGTTAAGCTGATGTAGTCCGGGAAGTGTGTACAGATTTTCAAGATCCGTAATGGCCTCTTCAAATAGCTGTGACCAGAGAGCAGGGACAGGCGAGAAAAGCACAAAAGTATTTGACCCAACTCTAACTCTTGAACGTTCTCAATCTGATGCTATTCTTGGAATTCCAAAAGTGGCTGTGAAAAAGCGCACTCTTGAAGTGTCTCTGTCAGCAGACAGCGCAGAAGAAAAGAATGAAAAAGAGGGGAGAGTGTCTGAAAGCTCTAAAGTGTACTTCGATCTGTCGGAAGTTGGACCAGAAAAGCATTTGGTTGAGAGCAAGGATTTAAAGATACGTTTGAAACTGACTCCAGCCTTAGAACCTATCCTGCAAGAGGCTGAAGATGAGGCTGTCCAGGGAGAGACGTACCAAGACAGGCTACTGCTAACTTGTGGCAGTGATACGTTTGTTCCAGCATCACCAGACAGTGATGACTTTGGAAATGGTGGATCTTTCTATGCCAAGTATCCTCTTCGCTTCCCACATGGATCGTCTTTAAACAATTACCGCCACAATCTGAAGCTCAGTTATCAAACACTGTCACAGAAGCTGGAGGGCTACATCTATGATTTGAAAAGTTGTGATCTGAGTACCCAGTGCACCATTTTAGTTCAGATACTAGATGTGGTCAAAGAGGCATGGGACACCCCGGTCTATGGTCGTGATCTAGCATATGGGCTTTGTGATATAATACGTATGGAGGGTCTGCTGGACAGACTAGTATACAATTGTGCCTCTCCTGCCAGGGATCTCCTTTCGGCTTCTGCCAACCTGCTGGAACAGGTGATGTCCACCAAGAACAGAGAGCGAGTTGCCAAAATTGGTTTAGTTACTATTGTTAAGATGACAAAGTCTGCTGTAGGGGACAATATCATAGCCAAAGCTACAACAGGCATTCTGGAAAACTTGTTCAAACTATCTGAAGAGACCTGCTGTAAAGTAATAACTCTTGGAGGACTTGATGTCATCCTACACTGGTGCCGTTGTAGTGACAATCAAATCTTGAGAAGGTGTGCCAAGGCGCTGGCAAACTTATCTCTCTTCGGGGGTGCTGAAAATCAAGAGGAAATGGCAAAAAGACGTGTTCCTGAATGGTTGTTTCCTCTTGCCTTCAATCAAGACAATAGTGTGAGATACTATGCATGTCTAGCAATCTCTGCCTTGGTAGCCAACAAGGAGCTGGAAGCAGCTGTACTTAAATCAGGAACTCTGGATCTTGTTTTGCCCTTCATCAATAGTAACAAACCATCTGTGTTTGCTCAGAGTGATCTTACACACAAACAAGGCCGAGATAAAATTTGGTTGAAACACCTAATTCCTTTGCTGTTTAGTAGACGCCAGGAAGCTCAAGCACTGGCGGCCTTCCACTTTGCAATGGAAGCAACTATCAAAGCTGAACAGGGCAGGCAAGAGGTAGGTCAAGGCTTTAGAAAAATAGATAATGTGTTTCATTGGTTAAATTAGTTCACAAACCAAAAGACAGTTGAGCTTATGTCATGGCCTGTATGTCCATTGTGTCATTCTTAATATTCTGTTGTGTATCATGATAATAATAAGTGCATTTGTTATGCGCTATTTTCCGTCCGTTGCGGTTGCTCAAAGCGTAGACAATCCGATTATTATTACCCAGGATAACCCAAGCTGCTGGCAAGGCACTAGAAGATTAATAGTCACATGACTTATCACACTGGGTACCCATTTTCTGCAGGGTGAGCAGAAGCAGTTTTGAACAAACTCACTTGCCTATGGTGAGACCACATGTATCACATCTGCTTCTGTCATAATCTTCCGCAAACAAGGTGCTACTGTTAGGGTGTCAAGTTACTTAAGTTTTTCACAATAGAGTTACCATGTTATTATAAGTGATGAGGTGCTGATGGACTGATGAAATCACTCTGGTCTCTCTTAAAAGTCCCTGGAAGCATGTGATGTAAATGCATAGGAATTTGCTGATGGTTGTGAGGTTGGAATCCAGGGCCATGTTCCACATGAGACTTTAGTGCTATTGTGATCTGAAGTTGTAAGATTTTAACCTTTAGCCTCAGTTTAGGTTGACATACTGTTCCACAAAACAACCTGAAGCTAAGGTACCTTAGTTGTTAGTTGAAATCAAAATATTATGGTGAATTCCACCCCGCCAAAACAGTATGGAAGTTGCAAGAAGTCTACATGAACAATATGTGTTCTGTAATTGCACTATGGAGCTTGATTCAGTAAACTGACTTGTTTTCACATTACCGCATGCCCTGACATGACCTCCATTCCCTTGTGGTCAATGTATACAGATTGAAATATTCTGAAATGAAATTATTTGAGCCAGGGAAAATAATGCAAAACCTATGAGTGGTCTTTGCTGCATTAATGAACTGGAGATCAAGATTACTGTGTGTATTTTCATATGCATTAACTGTGTATGCCAGAAATAGTAATCAGCTGCACACACATTTGTCTACAGGTGATTCTGTTGAGAGATATCCAGTGATATAACATAAATGAACTTTAAAGGTAACAACATTACATAATCTAGTGCCGTATTATTTTAGTTGCAACTTTTACTTTACAGATGAAAATAATAAGAACTATAGTCATGGTACTTCAGTACTACTGATTGAAATTGCTCTGTATTTTATTCATGTTGAAACATTATGACCTGTCCAAGTTGAGGCGATGTACAAACACATGTTAACAATAAATTACATTTTATAGTCAAGCTATGACAAATCTGACTTTTAGCAAGTCATGTATTCGTGTATCTGTTATTGCAAATATAATTACGTCAAAATTACTTTTATGCATCCCAAATATCAAATCATCGTTGTCATTGTCTATGTGGTTTTTTAAATCTATCATTGTTGTCTTCAGATATTCCATGAGATTTGTGCTGTACAGCCTCTAAAGAAGATAGCAGGCAGCCCTAATGCTGTGGCCTCAAAACTAGCAGCAGAGGCTCTGAAGGTGATAGGTGAAAAAATCCCACATCGTCTTTCACAGCAGGTGCCTCTCTGGACTGTTACTGATGTCTCCTATTGGGTCTCTCAGGTACCACTGGTCACTAAAAGTACAATATTCAACTCTACTGGGTTTTGACTTGTTTTGTTTTTATTATCTTTGCTGTGTCTTGTCGGCATGTTACAACTGGTTGAGTTCAGTTTGTCATATATCACTGAAGTTCACCTGCCAGTTCACGGGGGAGATGTCATGGAGAAGTTAATGACTGTTTTGCTGGGTTACTACGATATTTACTGTCAACACACACACCCACTCACACCTGAGACAATCCAGGTAAACTCAACCCATGCTTCATGTGAGGGAACACACCGGATCAGGTGGTCAGAATTGCTGACTTTGTTGATGCATGTATCCCAATTGTGTCCATTGGTGCTCAAGATGTTAATCACTACATTGTCTGGTCTAGACTCAGTTATTTAAAGACCGCTGTCATTTGTCATAGGTGGAAGATTGAGGGACGTTAATGCTAGACTCAGTTATTTAAAGACCGCTGTCATTTGTCATAGGTGGAAGATTGAGGGACGTTAATGCTAGACTCAGTTATTTAAAGACCGCTGTCATTTGTCATAGGTGGAAGATTGAGGGACGTTAATGCTAGACTCAGTTATTTAAAGACCGCTGTCATTTGTCATAGGTGGAAGATTGAGGGACGTTAATGCTAGACTCAGTTATTTAAAGACCGCTGTCATTTGTCATAGGTGGAGATTGAGGGACGTTAATGTTAGACTCAGTTATTTAAAGACCGCTGTCATTTGTCATAGGTGGAAGATTGAGGGACGTTAATGCTAGACTCAGTTATTTAAAGACCGCTGTCATTTGTCATAGGTGGAAGATTGAGGGACGTTAATGCTATACTCAGTTATTTAAAGACCGCTGTCATTTGTCATAGGTGGAAGATTGAGGGGCACGTTTATGCAAGAATTTGTCATAGGTGGAAGATTGAGGGACGTTAATGCTAGACTCAGTTATTTAAAGACCGCTGTCATTTGTCATAGGTGGAAGATTGAGGGACGTTAATGAAGGGTTTCAGATTGTCATCGGCCTTCGGTCATAGTCCGATAACATTTTCAAATGACCGACTACTTTCTTACTAATTAGGACACTTCGGGCCGATCGATAATTTCGATGTTATTTTCACATATTGGACCTAATAAATTACGAACATTATCATTTACAAATTCATCAAAACCTAACTACGAAATCTTGATCATGTTTCCGTGGCGTGTATGTGTTTACGCATCCATTTTTATCACACTAAGCTACCAAATGTACATGTAATGGATTACGCGATTGGCTGCTATTTTAAGCATTCGACAATCAGAAATGGGGTTTCCCGACCCCAACCGCATGTAACAATGTTTCAAGGAAATCATTAAATAAATTGAATAAACTAATGAATAAAATCAACAATAGCATTCATAAAAGTTGTCAAACGTACATATAAAATTACTATTTCCATCTTTTTGTGCGATCATGTAATGCAACAAGTCAAGTCACTGACAAGTGACATCTCGGCTTCGCCGCCTCAATCTTCAACTTGGACCGCGATGTTTAATGCGAAAAATATATGCATGAAGCATTTTGTCACAGGTCATAACCTAGCACAATACGTCCAATAAGTTCCATAATTTACGATAGATAGCGATTTAGTGCTTAATATGTTCGAATAGCATTATTTTACCCAAAACTTTCGTCTAAGTTTTTAAGTTTTCACGAGGGCGGTATCCATTGCCGTAATATGATTGGCTGCCTCATGTCACGTGTCTGATTTTGACCAATCACGACCCTTATAGCAGACTGTGGCGGGAAAAAGCGTCATTAGAAACCAATCTTTATCCAATAAAATCGCTTCTTACATCTGTGAAAATACTCTCAGCAAGGGTATAGTGATATTGTTGATGTTCAGAGCTTTCGAACGATACCCGCCATCAAACGATTCGCCTCGCATGTTATTCATACGAAGCTTCGAAAACGGAGGTATTTTCCGTTGTTGTGTCATGTTACCGAGCGGAAAGCCACTGATATCGGAAATAGGCTTGACCATACATATTATTTAAGAAATCTTTATATAATAATTTTCTGATTACGTAAAAATGAAAATGTAAAAGAAAAAGGCACGGGGATGTTATGACATGTCACAAATGGAAAAAAATCGCCATAGTTTTTGCTTCTTTTGTGATATTTCTGGACATTATAAATGCTTGCATTTTCATTAAAAAATCTATTTATTTATGTTGTAGTTGTATTATTTGAAAAATATTACAAAAATAAATTTCATCTTTATCAACAGTGGGATTAGATCTTTTAATTTTGCTGTATATCTAGAATCAAGTTGCAACATTAAATGTCATTAACAATTTAGTTATATGATGGCATTGGGATTTAAAAATCGTCAAAAGAGCTTTAGGTCAATGGCCTATCGCCAGACACCCACTCAGGACATTTGTCCTACTGATTTTATAGGCTTCAAAATCACTGTAATGCTAGACTCAGTTATTTAAAGACCGCTGTCATTTGTCATAGGTGGAAGATTGAGGGGCGTTAATGCTAGACTCAATTATTTAAAGACCGCTGTCATTTGTCATAGGTGGAAGATTGAGGGGCGTTAATGCTAGACTCAATTATTTAAAGACCGCTGTCATTTGTCATAGGTGGAAGATTGAGGGGCGTTAATGCTAGACTCAGTTATTTAAAGACCGCTGTCATTTGTCATAGGTGGAAGATTGAGGGGCGTTAATGCTAGACTCAGTTATTTAAAGACCGCTGTCATTTGTCATAGGTGGAAGATTGAGGGACGTTAATGCTAGACTCAGTTATTTAAAGACCGCTGTCATTTGTCATAGGTGGAAGATTGAGGGACGTTAATGCTAGACTCAGTTATTTAAAGACCGCTGTCATTTGTCATAGGTGGAAGATTGAGGGACGTTAATGCTAGACTCAGTTATTTAAAGACCGCTGTCATTTGTCATAGGTGGAAGATTGAGGGACGTTAATGCTAGACTCAGTTATTTAAAGACCGCTGTCATTTGTCATAGGTGGAAGATTGAGGGACGTTAATGGATATACAAACAAACATACCCACATCCATTGTTATGTACAAAGTGTCTTCTAGGCTGTATTGAAGACAAATTTCACTTTATATTAATTTGTCCTCATTATAAGACAAGCAGACAACATTTTATACCTGAATATTATTATGATAATCTGTCTGCTTCAAAAATGCATCAACTGCTGTCATCCAATAAACACAAAACTCATTAAATCTGTGTCGTGTTTAAAAAGAAATTTGCCAATTTGATATCATTTTGAATGATATATTTAATATGTGCAGTTTTTCTGTATTAGCAATATATGTCATGTGGCTCCTAATAACCTGTAAGTTGGTACAAGACACCTTATACCTTATGTAAGAAGAAAGTGTTGCTCATCAAAACAGTTGCTTTGTTTCGTAGGTTGGGTTCAGCAAGTATTCAAGTCACGTGGAGGAAGCTGAGGTTGATGGTGACCTGCTGCTTATACTCAATGATGACGACCTTAAGGAAGGCCTGCAGATGAGCTCCAGCATTGTCAGAAAGAGGTATGAGCCACTCTAAGGACCACGGTGTGCAGTATGTTGGTGGATATTTGGCCTACGTGCTAATTATGTTCTGTTTTTCTCAATGATTGACAATTACAAACATAATGACAGTCACTTTTACTACATAACTTAAATACTAGAGATTAGACTCAGTTGTACAGCTGACTCCAGCATACTTAGGAAACAAGTAAGGTTTTCTTGCCATGGGAAGCTGAAGACCTGGATCTTCAGAATTTTCAAAAGAAGTGATTGCAGACCAAAATACAGGGTTTGTGGCATATCAAAGGTAATATTTTTAGAGTTATTATGTCTCAATGTTGTCTGATGTTCCAATGATTGTGGGTTCAGCTCTGTTATATTGTATCTGTGAAATGTGCATGGCCTTGGGTTTCAAGAAAGAGGTAAATGTTGAAGACTGGGATCACTTCAGACTTCCTGTCTTATTAAGCTGACACGCCTTATCTGGAATACTGTTTATAGTGGTTATCACCATCTCACTGATGTTCCCACATATAAATAACTTTATTCAACTTTTGAAACAGGTTCTTACGAGAGTTGAAATCTCTGAAGATCTCTGCTGACTACTCATCATGTGATGCAACAGGGCTTGACCCATGGCTGATGAGCCTGACCCCAGACCTCTCTCAGTACACATATTACATGTTACGCCAGGGGGTGGACAAGTTCATGCTTCGCTGTCTAACAGAAGATGAACTGAGGTGTGAATGTGGAATCAATAACAGCATCCATCGAAAGAAAATCATACAGAATCTTGATGGTAATGTCAATTGGTAAATCTCAAACTGAGTAGGTTAACATGTCAGTAAAGAGAAGTCTGAAAGTCTCATGTATTTAGCCTTGGATTTATTAAAGCTTATCAAGTGATTTAACCTCTGTAGTCGAAACTCGTGTAGGGAGGCAGGAAGAACTATATTCACAAGAAACTCGTGTAGGGAGGCAGGAGGAACTATATCCACAAGAAACTCATGTAGGGAGGCAGGAGGAACTATATTCACAAGAAACTCGTGTAGGGAGGCAGGAGGAACTATATTCACAAGAAACTCGTGTAGGGAGGCAGGAGGAACTATATTCACAAGAAACTTCGTGTAGGGAGGCAGGAGGAACTATATTCACAAGAAACTTCGTGTAGGGAGGCAGGAGGAACTATATTCACAAGAAACTCGTGTAGGGAGGCAGGAGGAACTATATTCACAAGAAACTCGTGTAGGGAGGCAGGAGGAACTATATTCACAAGAAACTCGTGTAGGGAGGCAGGAGGAACTATATTCACAAGAAACTCATGTAGGGAGGCAGGAGGAACTATATTCACAAGAAACTCGTGTAGGGAGGCAGGAGGAACTATATCCACAAGAAACTCATGTAGGGAGGCAGGAGGAACTATATTCACAAGAAACTCGTGTAGGGAGGCAGGAGGAACTATATTTGCAAGAAACTCATGTAGGGAGGCAGGAGGAACTATATCCACAAGAAACTTCGTGTAGGGAGGCAGGAGGAACTATATTCACAAGAAACTTCGTGTAGGGAGGCAGGAGGAACTATATTCACAAGAAACTTGTGTAGGGAGGCAGGAGGAACTATATTCACAAGAAACTCGTGTAGGGAGGCAGGAGGAACTATATTCACAAGAAACTCGTGTAGGGAGGCAGGAGGAACTATATTCACAAGAAACTCATGTAGGGAGGCAGGAGGAACTATATTCACAAGAAACTCGTGTAGGGAGGCAGGAGGAACTATATTCACAAGAAACTCGTGTAGGGAGGCAGGAGGAACTATATTCACAAGAAACTCGTGTAGGGAGGCAGGAGGAACTATATTCACAAGAAACTCATGTAGGGAGGCAGGAGGAACTATATTCACAAGAAACTCGTGTAGGGAGGCAGGAGGAACTATATTCACAAGAAACTCATGTAGGGAGGCAGGAGGAACTATATCCACAAGAAACTCGTGTAGGGAGGCAGGAGGAACTATATTCACAAGAAACTCGTGTAGGGAGGCAGGAGGAACTATATTTGCAAGAAAAGAGGTTGTGTCAATACAATCCATGGGGAGTCCATATTACAACGAAGGCTCCCAAGTCATATATTTCTGAATGTGGCATCAATGACAATAGACAGAAGAAATCTTTACTTATAATGTTAACGTAGCAGAATGGAAGGGATGATGAACTGAATATCCATTCCCCTTCTAAATCCCCTAACAGCAACACAAGTCACATGGAGCAGACCAGAACTTCCATGGAATCTGGAGCCTCAATTCCATGTCCTAATATTTACTTTCTAATGTTTTCATGATGACAAGTGGGGGCCAAAATCACTGTATATTTCTTGATGAAACCTGTATTATGCTATAATAATCTGTGTAATTTTGGATTTTGGCCTTTTGATGATTTGGGATATTAAACACTACTGAACAGCATCAATGTTTTCTCCACTGAAGGTATCACATGGCAGTGAGCCAGTTGTGGCATCCATAGTCAAACACCAATGTACGAATTGCTCCAGATCATGGGCATGTGTCATCTTCACATGACCCTTGTTTCAGGTTCAATATTAATTGTTTTGACTTGGATTATACCAATGTGAGAAAAAGTTCAATACTTTGAATGGCAGGCATCCTTAACGTTAAACATGGAGACATTTCTGGGTTTCATCTTCTTTTTATTGTTTGGTACAACGTTTCAGGGCTTGTTCTGGTCCCATCATCAGGTAGAACTGAAAAACAGTGTTCAGAAAAGTCTCTATGTTCATCAAATAGCATCTTCTAAAATGCCAATCAAACATCTAATCCATAATGTTACTATTGTCAGTTGTAAAAATAAAAAATTTCAGATTTATCAAGTCCTTCTTCAAGCCGACAGAATCTTGTGATGGCAGTTGGAGACCTTGCATCCAGTCTTGGCAGTGGTCTAAGGGCCAATGATGTATTTCTCTCCTACAGACGCTCCAATGGGTCACAACTAGCAAGGTATGTTCTGTATTTAAAAACAGTCATTATGGTACATTTGCTGCTACACTTTGGTAGATATATATATAATATATTTCCACTTGGCATGAAAGTATTTGAGCGGAAAGAAAAATTCTTTCATACATTGAAAAATGTGGTAAATTCATCAATTCCAATGCCAAACCGATAGTTACTGGTAGAAGCTTAACCGTGTTTGAACTGAAGTGGGGCGGTGGGGTAGCCTAGTGGTTAAAGCGTTGGCTCGTCACGCCGAAGACCCGGGTTTGAATCCCCACATGGGTACAATGTATGAAGCCCATTTCTGGTGTCCCCTGCCATGATGTTGCTGGAATATTGCTAAAAGCGGCGTAAAACCAAAACTCAGTCAGTCAGTTGAACTGAAGTCTTCACCTGATTGATAGCTGCACCTTTGGCAGAATTCATGTCAGTTAGGATGTTTTGTGGTTTTGTCAGAATCATGTCAAACCTGCAGTCTATATTTTGGAAAGACCTGTGATGATGGCATTTCCGGGAAATCATCATTATTTGAGTATAACTTTAATGATTTGAAGAGCATTTTCACACCCTGATTAGTCATGTCAAACATCAAGGTCAATGCCAATGTAATTGTCGGAAAAATGTTTACCAGTTAACTCAAGAAGCATTTACTGTGGCTCACACAAACTTGGTACAGTTCATCCTTTGGTTGGGAGGCCCAGTTGAGGAAGACTTTACCTCTGTGTAATGTGTACGTCATTCAGGTGGTGACTGACCCGTCACATGACAAGTTCACCTCAACTTTTAACCTCGTATGACTTATTTCATGGTAAATTGTCTTAAACTTGATTCCTTCTGATTCCGTTTTAAACATGGCTAGCATGGCAGCAATATTAATATGTCATTTTAAGTTTGTTAATCTCCATTGCCATTTTTATATGTATATCTGCAAGGTATGCTTCTTCCAAAGCTCTGATATTTGTCAGAAAGATTCAGGTAAAACTGAGCAACAAAGCTTTGAGGGTTTTGCATTTAGTTGTAAATGTCAGTACTGTTATGTGACGGTTAAAAATGGTTACTTCATCAAAGCAGTGGTAGCATATGAGTATTCTGGTTATAGCCTTTGTTATTGAGCTACAGGGCATTAGTAACAAAGTGTTTTCAACTAATGGGTTTCTCCAAAGTGATAAGTGTCGTAGATACACATCCCTTCAGGCTTTTTCACAAATCTGCAATTTGTTGTGGTTTCTCTATTACTGAAAGTCAAGTTAATTCATGTTGTAGCATCTCTGTTGTTAGCCTGAACATTTCCTTTGATAGAACGCAAACTTTGTAAGCATGTTCCCAGCTATGGTATCTCTGGAAAATGGTCACAAAACTCAGATCTGATTTATCAGATATTGAAGATATCATATTTTTCCTTATCCTGACTCATGCTTATTGCTTGTCTCCCTTTCCTTCCGAATGCTAGTGGAACACTTGAATCCCCTTTTGAAGCTCCCTTAAAAAAAGCGGACGTAAAATCACTTACCAGGAGTCACCTCCCTTCCCAGGTTTTGGCGGGAAACGGCGCCACCTGTCTCCCATGCTCTTCACTCTCTCCTGATTCGCCCGAGTGGGCGGTTGTGAGAGCACCTGGTCCCCTATACGGCATTATATCCTTTTATTATTTAGGCCTTTCTTCTAAATTAGCTGTATAAGGCTTAAGTTAACATTTACCTACAATATTCTACGGAATTAATTCTAAAATTTCTCTGTTTTATCACGTTTTTACGTGATTATTCACATTGTTTACAATTGATGAAATCTTGTTCTGGTTGTAGGTATCGATTGTCTGCTGTTGATCCACATAACCTATGTCCTAATTGCAAGCCTGTATGTTTATCTGACACTCGTCAGTTGTGTTTTCACCTGTCTGATATTGCATTTTACAAATATTCATATTATCTGTCTAGACATGCAAAGGACAGGTCCAGACGAGAATTACACAACATGTCTAAACCGGCTAAGCTTGCAGAGGACCGGCAGTGGGTGTCTGCGCAAATGCACCATTCCAGTGGTCTACCGGGGTCGTCTACGGAGGAGGTTGCCGCCATAGACAACGCTGGCTCGAGGAAGAGGTCATCTACATATGATACACCCTCTTCGCAGTCTAAGAAGATTAGGGCATCATCTTCCCAGAAGAAGAAGTCAGCTACAACTAAGACTTCGTCGAAGTCTCCACACGGGGCAACGCAGAAAACGAGGTCCTTTTCAGCTGAGATCGTCCCTCTGGAAGATATAGATGTCTACGATGAGGCGCCTATCCTCATCCCTGAGATCACATCTAAGAAGAAGACGAAGACGTCTTCTACAGTGATCACGCAGGACAACCTTTCAACGCAGACGTTCGGCACGAAGGATCAACGCCCTTCGGAAGAAGCCTCATCCGTCTCAGATGCATTGTCAGTACAACAGACAACGCAGACCTTCAACCCGGGCGCCTTTATGCAGCAATTTACCCAACAGATGTTGGATCTCATGGAACAACGGTTCGCACGCAAGAGAGCTGCGACGAAGACGACGTCTGCGATGAACCCGAGTGAAGGTCAACTGAGCTGCACACCACGTCCGTTGGGAACCAACGTCCTGCAGAGCATACAGGAAGATTCCAGCTCGACTACAGCGTCCGCACGAATACCTGGCAGCCATACCAACGTGGAACCCGCACCAAATACGTTCGACGGAAGGACCAGACGTTCGCCGAACCCACGTAGATCATCATCAACGTCAGATACGGACGTTAGTCACGAACCTGCACGCAACGGTTCGTTACCAAGGAGAAGAGAATCAACATCCATACAAAGGCATAGAGATTCGTCACAAGACTCCAACCCTCGACAAAGCCGTTCACCTACACGCAGGTTCGCGCGAAGGCACGCACGGTCATCTCTATCTCCGTGAGGTCCCCACGAAGGAAGTCATGAATACATTCACGAACATATGGTTCGCCACGAAGGTCACCACGCAGGTCGCCTTACAGATCGCCACGCAGGTCACCACACAGATCGTCTTACAGATCACCTTACAGATCTCCTCGTTCAGACGACAATAGAAGACATCCGTCCTCAGAGCAGGAAGATGATGGCGGAATTATATTTTCCGACTTGGAAATCAAGTCATGGATGGCCAATGGTTTGGAACTCGCATCACCCTCTAAGGAGACCAACGAAGCACTATCATACTTGATGGTGAATGATGATATAGACTCACTCACGATGCCACCTATCGACCCTGTCTTAGACTTTCCAGACAACCTCAGCACAGCCTTCAAGAAGACTCAGAGTATTCCGTCGTTCAACGCTAAGAAGTTCTCTCTACACCACATGGAACCCTTCATGAAGGCTCCAGAGATAGATGAGAATTATAAGATCATCAATGACACTCGGACGAAAGATTACGAGATAGAAGATAAAAAGCTGGCACAGTTAGACACAGTAACCAGACGAACCTTCTTCGGCCTAGCCAGGTCAAGAGCTATCAACGAGACTCTCATCTCGAAGATCGAATGGTTTATTCAGCTCTACTTACGCAGAAAAAGGATCATCAGTTCATGTCTGAACACCTATCATCCATTTCTGCAGGCTTAACATTATCAAAAAGGCAAGGACTGTTATCTTCCTGTACTTGGAGCGAGAAATTTACCAAGACACTCTACAGAGCCCCTTGGTCAGCACCATCCATTTTTGCCGGAGAAATTGATGAAGTCGCCAAGGAAGTCGTTAAAGATTCCCCAGAAGTGATGATGATCAAGTCTATCGATACACTGGCCAGTGTAATACGTCAGACCTCCCAACGTTATTCCGGCAAATCGAAGTTTGCAGGCATCCAGAGAGCAAGGGATAAGAAAACAGGCAACGCTAAAGGGAATAAGGATTCTTTTACGCTTCATCCGCAGCTCCAAGAGGTAACTCTGACGGAAGAGGTCGGCCCTTTCAAAGCCAGAAGTTCCAGACGATGAAATACAGGTTCGGAACGACTGGAGTCTTCCACCCCCAGCCGTTCCAGTACAACCCTCACAAGTGGGTAGACGTCTGCAACTCTACTGGAAGAATTGGGGAATTCTTCAAGACGACTTCGTATCTCAGATCCTACGCACAGGTTACAGGATACAGCTACAAGCAGTACCACCAGTAACAATCAACCCTATGGTTCACAACTACGCTGCAGACCAGAAGGGAAATCTACTAGAAGCCATCACATCTCTACTAGAGAAAGAGGCAATAGAAGAGATAAAACAAGACTGCGTCACACCAGGTTTCTACTCCACAATTCTTTTTCAGAAGAAGTCCTCCTTGGGGTACATATAAGCATTAAAATGTCCATTTTAAATCCTACGACAGTTGTAACTATATTTGTAATAAAATATTTACAAAACAAAAAAACCTCGTTTTGTCTTGTGAGACCACCCCTACAGGGCCCCACCGGACCAACACAGCCAAGAGCAGGTAACTCTCGCCGTCTACCTCGTACCTCACTTTTCATGCTGTCGCTCTGTTGAATAGGCGTCGCGTTGTGTTCGCTTCGAGTTTGCTCTCCTACCGATAATGATGAGTGTAAAAGAGTCTCAATCTGTATGTATGGTTCCTTTCTCACGCCCGCGAGGCGTTAGATGGACGTCATATGTGGATATTTTCATTCATCTTTTGTTGTAACTTTGCCATTGGTTCTCTGTTTTCCAGCCATGTGGCAGGCAAAATGGCCGGACCGCGATCGTGGTTTCCTTGCTATATGTTCTTGGTAGCTTGTAGTAGGGAGTTCATATATTATGTTTGCATATTATATGGTAGGCTTGCCTAAATTCTCTTTCTTTTCAGTGAATTTGTGGTAAGTCGTTGTGGAGTAATTTTGATAGTGTTAGTTTCAGATCACTCAACTTTACTCTGTCACTAGTACACGAGGGGTGGCTAGCCTTTTCTGCTTTGCATTGTATGTTTAGTATTTAAATGGCTGTAGCTTGTAGCATTTATATATCGCCCGTCGCG